GATCAAGAAAATCATCGATAACAATCAAAATGAGGTACATATCATTCGAGTGATTTTACTTCACTTCAATTGAACTATTTTTTGCTATTGCTGATTTTGTACATGTTTTCTTGATTTTTTTTTTATACCTTATGAAGTAAGATTATTTTTTTTTATCTGCTTTGAAATGTGATGCCATTTAGTTTCCTTTTTATCTGCTTTGAAATGTTTTTTCCTTGAATCGAGGGTCTTCAGTTGTAAGATTTTGATAGTGTTATGTTCTTTTGACAGTCTGATTCGAATATATATAAGAGCTTAAAGAGGCTTCAAATGATGGCTTTGTCCGTGGAGATTCTGCAGGTTTGATCTTTTACCAATGTATAGATTTGATTTGCAATTTCTTTTATCTGCAATTCGTACTCAACGTATATATTTTTATATCAGAACACAGAAATTGGGAAGTCTGTTAATACTCTCAGATGGCACAACTCAAAAAATATTCGATGTCTGGTCAGGAAGATGGTCAAGTATGTCACTCTTTCTTTATTGCTGCTGAACTACGACATGATGCTTCATTTAATATAGTTTTGAACAATATTTCTTTTTGAGTTATCGCACCATTTTGTCATCATTTGTTGGATTTTCATATCGTTTTCTATTAATTTACATGCTAGCGTGGATATTACAGGGAGTGTGATGATGTCAATACCTTATTTGTACAGTTTTCTGCTTCAGTACTATTAAGTAATCCAAGCATATACCTAGTTTCACCACTTTGTGCACTTAACCGTGACTTTTTTGTGTTTGATTGTGGTTATATAAGAACTGTCGTTGTGTAGAAACATTGATTGTTCCCTTACAATGACTTAAATTAGACTGGATGGATATGGTAAACGAGTGTCGTTGTGTTTATTCATTTCTCATGCATCACAGGGGATGGATTGAAATGTTACAAGAGTGGATGGATGCTCGAGCAACATTAACAGGTCCTCCAAAATTTAGTGTTCTGTATTCTATGTTTAAGGTCATTATTGAAGTCTAATGTGGTGAGTTGTGAAATTATTGGTACAGAAAGGAAATCTGAGTCCACGAAAGCATTCGTTGTTGATGAAGAAGACGGAGGACTTCCTGTCCCACCCTTGGACGACATACTTTCCTTTTTACGCAGACAACTTCAATCGAGCTGTCACAAGTATGCCTAACGTCTTACCTTTCTTCGACAAAATCATTTATCTTTATCTTCATGATTGAAACTGACTCGTTTTCATCATTCCCGATATATTAAATGTAGATCTTTGATGGCATGGATGATGATGGAAGTGAGTAGAAACTTTTGTCCTTATAATAATTCAAATCTAGTCTTTTCTATTCGTATTTCTTCATCTAATCGTGGATTTTCTTTCAGATGTTATAATCAGCGTGGGCCAAAAGGACGAGCAAGAAAAGAAACAAACTTCAGTACTTGTCAAACCAAATAAGCCTCCCGGAGGCAACTCAGGACGTGGAAGACCAACTAAGTCAACACTCGAACAGAAGCTCAACAATGATCATGAAATGAAACTCCAGGAGAAATCTGACCAAAGAAAAATTCAAACAAGGCCTGTGCCTACTCAACAAAACGTGAGTGTTCGAAGGGTGTCAATTTCTAGTTCATGTAAAGCTTCGATTTCTAACTAACAGATCATCATTTTGTTGTATCAGAAACTGAAATGCCCCGATGAGGATGCAGAACATTTGAAACTTGAGGCCACAAAGCGAAAGCTCCATAAGTGTTACCAAGAAGTTGAAAATGGTTAGTTTGGTTTCTTATAGCGCGTAGACTTAAATAACTCATCGTGCACTACAAAACATGTTACATGTGATGATATTTCCTTATTAATTGTTCTTCAGCGAAGAGGCAGAGGATTCAAGTAATGAAGTTGAAGGACATACCCAAGCAAGGCCGTGGCATTAGAAAGACTCATAATAGGCCTTTGGTAAATAGGCGTTAATGAATCATTTATTCGCCTTTGCTAGTCAATCTTGTGGAGGAGCATCGTCAGTGAAGACTCGTGTCAATGGTATCAGCTAATAACTCAAGATATAGTGGATCTCGTCTAGTTAGGAGAGGTGCGCGTTTTGAAATGTTGTCCAAATTATACATTTTCCTGTTGGAAGGACCTGAATTGTTCCCCCATTTTTCGACTTTTTTTAACATTAGCCTGCCCTATTTTTTTTCTTTCATAGAAATGCCCTGAATTGCAATTTGCACACATAGTTTCACATCTATTATACGAATGGGTGCATTTGTCAGTCGACGCAAGAAATAATCAAATAATCTCAAACGAATTGGTACATACAAGGAAACATTTCATAATATCTAGGAAACATTTCTTATTACAACAACAAAAAAAAGCCATTAATATAGTACATAGAAAAATCATTTTATAACGATGCCATTTACCCAAATATCTTATGGATGCTTCCAAAGGAAATTTGACTATTATAGTGACATATCCTTACAGAAGATGATTGTTATAAAGATGTCTAACTGTAGTGATCATCAAGCGGCATAACTTAGAGAAAAGAAAAGATAGGGACGCCAGGTAGTGTGTAACCAGCATCAACAATAAATATATTGCCAGATACATAATTTGAAGAATCATGGACCAAATATCTCAATAGTGAAGTCAATGCTGGATCAGTTGTACCAAAAGTTTTAAGTGGAATACTTCTTTTTGCTACATTTTTTAGCCATTCTTTTTTCACTAAATTCTCAGTAATCTCTGATTTGAAAAGACCTGGAGCTATTGCATTCACTCTAATATTGTATTCTCCCAATTCTAATGCCATTATCTGCAAATTTCATTAACAAAGTTATATTAGTACGATAGGTGTTTAATACGACAAACGTCATTTAATTTAGGGTTAGGTTATAACCTTTGTCATAGAATCCATAGCAGCCTTGGAGGAACTATAAGCAATACCACCACGCATTAAAGCTCTATTTAAACCAGAAATAGATCAAATATTAATAATTGAGCCTCCTTTTTTTGAAGCTTGCATTTGTCTTCCAACATAGTTGGAAACTAACCAAGATCCTGTCAAATTTGTTCTTAAAGTATTTTCCCACTCTTCCTCAGAAATATCCACTGAAGATTTTATCCCTCCTATATATAAAACACACAAAATAGATTCATACTACATATATGAAATTAAATTAAAGTAGCTTGAGCCAAAAAATTATACTGCATATATATAGAAGTGCAATGAATTAATGATTCAGAATTCACGAAAACTTTCAATAACTTACTAAACAAAGGCTAAGAAAAAAAAACTATAAAATACAATGTTTTTAATTATTATTGTATAAATTGTTGAATTAATCTTCTTTGATATAAATAAATATTTTATTTAGTGACAAAGCTTTTCAAAAAGTATGTCATGCTATGAGTCGAATCTCAAAATGTCATATATGTATTTTTGTATTTTTGTATATTAGCTCCATCGTGATTACAAGTATTAAATATAAATATAATTTTTTTGTGAATTTCGTAAGAAACTACTTATTCATTCGTGTTTTTACTAAAATCGAACCGAAATTGATAAATTCTAAAATCGACCGAACAGATCGATATGCAACACATATTTTGTTGGTATAAACTTTTTTACGTACCTCTAACGCCAGCATTGTTAATAAGAGCATCAATGTGACCAAAAGCATCCCAAGCTTTCTTTATTGATGCTTCAATGGTTGTACCATCAGCAGTAACATCAAGTTCAATAGCCATAGCTCTAACTAAATGAGAATTTGAACTAGCCATTGTATTAATTTCATCACAAAGGGACTTCAACCGGTCCCCCCTACGAGCACCCGCCACCACTCTGCACCCGGACCTAGCTAGGTCAAGGCAGAATTCACGGCCGAGCCCCGCCGACGCACCGGTTACAAACACCACTTTGCCTTCCAATTGTAGCCATGGCTCCAAATGGTTAGCCACATTGTTCATTTCTTGAGTCCTTGGCTCAACATATTTTGGTACTTGTGTTGTCATTATTATATTGTGATAGCTATGGGGCTTGGTAGGAGTTTTTTTTTTATAGGACTTTAATAATTCTAATAATATTAGATGTGTACATATATATAGGTAAATATTTTGAAAAGGTGAATTGAATAGGGGACATAACTTTTATTTTTAATAGAAATTAAAAAAACATGTTTCATGCATATGTATGTGGTTGATAGGTTCTAGTAGCCTTCTAGTAAGGATGTGAGGTAGATATAAAACTAATCATTGATTTTTCCAAAATGAGGACCCCATGGACCAGACTATAAGTTTTATTATAATCAAAAGTTATGCAGGAATGTGGTAATTAAAACTTCTCAATCTTTAACAAACATTTCGAATTCAAGCTTTAGACATATATAAGAAGCCGTCTTTAATAGTGAGCGCTCAAATTTATCTTAAAGTAGAATTTTTTAATACAAATTCAACTTAATCGGACCTTAAAAACGAATTCCTAACTTCAAATGGAAAACGGAAAGGAAAAAGGTACTACAATAGATGAGTACTAAAGGGTTAAAACTTTCAAGTTTTAATTAACTTTTGAATATTTGGTAAAGTAGAGAAATCAGTAGAACATTAATTTCATTCTTAAAATTAATTCAAACATTAAAGAAATATTTAAAAGTTATTTTCACCTTATAAAAAAGAGAAAATTGTATGAAATAACAAACTATTAATTCAAATTAAATGCTATAGTCATAGTTTATTTTAATTGTAATTCGCAGCAAACACCCCTTTTTTGCCATTTGATTCGATATACAATTAGCGATTTTCGGTATACAATTAGTCATTTTATACATTTTAGTATAAAATGTATAAAATGCGTTTGTGTTTGTATAAAGAGAGAGAAAAATGTATTTACAAATACAAATACATATATTTTCGTCTTATACACTTTTAATTATACAAATACAGATCTTATTATACAAATTACAATGTATAAATGAATTTATACAAAACTGGAAAATTTGTATAAAATTGGATGTTTGTAGCGAATTATACAAATCAAAAACTTCATAGCAAACATAAAATTTGTTATGGAGCGCAATTATGCAAACTATAGTTATAACATATAAATATGATTTTTATGTTTGCTATATGTGAAAGTTGCTCTATAAAAAACACTTAAAATAAGTCGATTTAAGTAGTTAGCTCTAAGAAGACAAAGACTCGTGGAAGAAAGAAGAAAAACACAAGTAGCTTAAAAAACTAAAAATGCATAGATCAATATGAGGGAAACATTTTCTTAAATTACTAAAATATGGTCTATTACACTTTCATTTATTGCATATTTTGTCACCCTATGGTGATCCTATAAATATGGAATTCTATTCTATGAGAAGTCCTATTCATTTTATAATAGTCTTAGTCAAAACAGCCAAGTTGTTGTACGTTTGTTTTTTCCCTATAGTACGTAAAACTTGTAAACCACTTATTTTTCATGACAAAATTAATAGAGTAACAACTAAGTTGGTAGCTGGGTTCCAGCAACGGTTATAAATTTACATGAAAAAAAATAACTTTTTTTTAATAGAACCACCGGTAGATAATTTTAAATATTCATATAAAATAGATAATTTCATGATTTTGGTATAAACTGTCATAGATTTCTCACTTTCCCCAAAAATGCCTTTTGAGCTTTTGTGTTAGAGTACAATAGGACATGATAATAATTATAACGAATTAACTAATTTAAATTCACATACTAGTATATAGAGAGCGCTTATTAAGTGTGTCGTATTAGAAGTTTTTCTATTTCCAGAGTTTTAGATTCTAAATTGTAAATTAAAAAGATGAAAGATCTTGTATATCTTATATTAGGGCTGAGGGAAATTCTTAGAATCCCGAAATCATAAGTTTCACTTCTCATTTGTATTTCATCATACCTATTAGGTGATAAAGTAAAGATATATTTTTAACATGACGCATTAGGGCAACACATAAATGGAGAAGGATACGGTATATATGGGTCAAAATTAAAGCTATTATTTTTCTGAATTTTTTTTTGTGAGCCAGCTGGGCAGGTGGTAAAAACAATTATTTTCCTTTTTATAATTCTCTGTATATGCATGCACGCGGGACAATTTTGCGCTAATTATCGTATACGTTCTCATCGTAAAAAGTACGTGTATTTCATAAGTATAAATATGTTGATTATACTAATAAATAACTCGAGCCCAATCTATAATACTAAATGAGCTATAGCCTATCAATTGGGGGAAAAAAGGAGGAGGAATTTTCACAAATAGTAACTATATATAATAAACTTAATTATGCTTCATAGCTAGTTGACATATTTATGGGATGTAGCTGCTGTTTAAGCTATCGTTTGTATAATTCGTGGGTACATTTGTATTTTTGTATAAACTCAAATTTCTACAAACACAAACATTTGAACTTTAAGCAGTCATACAAATTATATTATATAAAATTACATTATAAAGTTATACAAATTTCGAATGATACAAACGTGCAAATTATACAAACTCGAAACCCCAGTCCACGTAATTATCACCGAATATAGGTCGCGAGTGATAGTTAACTAAAACTATAGCTATGATGACTAATAAACTAGTACGGTAATTTCCCCCAAAAAATGAGTTTGTCTATCAAGCCCAAAACTTTGTCTTATTGGGCCCTATATTGTTAAGATTTTCTCTGTGAGAAAAATTTACCAAGAGCCCATGGGCTAATTTGTTAAGCTAAAACCTGCTGGTTAACTGAAAAGGAATAAGGCCTAAAGCCCATTCTGTTGTTTGAATTTCACTCATATGAATCCATAAAAGAAAAGACAATCATCGAAAATCCTAGTGCGATGGATAAGATCTCTACAATATTAATTACAGATTAAGAATTTCGAGTGAACAAAATTGTAATGAAGCATAAACACGACTCTTTCTTAATAGGAAAAAGCAAACTCCATTAAATAGTTTGTGAAGAGTATTTCTTACTTCATCTTTGATCTTTCCTTTCATATTTTACTCAATTTTATACGACACGATTTTAAATTAATCAAATCTTCGTATAAATATTGAACATCGAAAAAAAAATATGATCAAGGTAAGGACAAGAGGTAGGTGTTACTTATAAGCACGAGAACCTGAAAAGATTTTGGAAAGGAATTAAAGTACTAAAAAGAAGAATAAAAATGAAAG